ATTGGTATCATCTTAAAGCTTGTTCACTTGTCTTTATTTGGTTTTTAAAAAAGATCAATTTGTCTTGAATACAACTCGAGATATTTGTGAATGAAGAAGGTGGGGGTCACCTGTTTTCAGAGGTAAAATTATTGAGAAAATGGTCGCCAAAGATTAGTTATTTCCTTAGCTTAAGACTCCGTGGTAACTAAAAATTTATATTTTTTTGTGCCTTTAATCAACGTTTTTCAGAAAAATCAACACAGAAATGAGTTCATTAATGGGCATGAAAGGTGTTGAGCCAAAAAACAAAAATTTGATAAAAATTCACAAACCTGCGGAAAAATGCATGTTTCTTCAATTTGATTATTTTGACGAGAGCCTGATTCCACCACGCTGCCTCACGTTTACACTTCTTCCGTCATAACCTGCCTTCCCATCATAGAGCACTTACGCACGCCATAGAATGATCAAACTCTTTATCCCATCTCTCTCTCTCTCTCTCTCTCTCTCTCTCTCTCTCTCTCTCTCTCTCTCTTTCTCTCTGCCTCTTTGTCTCTCTGTCCCTCTCCCTCTCTCCCTCCCTCCCTCCCCCCCTCTCTCTCTCTCTTTCTCTCTCTCTCTCTCACTCACTCTCTCAATCTCCCGCTCTTTCTCCTTCTATCTCTGTCTCAACCTCTCTCAGCTCCTTTTATTCCCCCCTCCCCTCTCCTTTTTTCTCCCCTTCCCCCTCCAGATCAAGAAAGGAAATAATAGACTCCATAAATAAGCAAATCAAACTTTATGAAACTTTCTCTGACGAATGTATTCCCACCATTAAGAGGAACACGTTTTGATGTAGGTGTGTTTATGTTCCAATCGACACAATTTACATCGTTGAAGAGGTGGGATTTGGCCCGAACTATCAGGCGAACTCATGTCCGATAAGGATAGAATAACCCAGAAGAAAGACCGAGGTACCCAATGAAAATTCTCCCCACTCGGGAAGTGATCTGGGGTCTCCTGCGTGCGACGGTAAGGAGCCCGACCTCTACACCACAGACGCCGGCAGTAGGAGTATTAAAAGGAAAGCAAGAAAAAGAAGACCAAAATACGCTGTACGTTTTAACTCCAACCACCCTACCCCATTACTTGGCCCCCAACCATTGTTTTGACCGCCGCCACCACCACCACCCCTCCAATCCCTCAATACAAAACATCCCTCCTCCCCCCCCCCAAAAAAAAAACAAAACAACACCAACAACCAACCCCCCCTCCCCCCCGCACCCACTAACGTATCAATAGCCTCGTAGAATATTCATGAAATTTGTCACCTGTTTGCAAATCTGGAAGGACATTTCAGCCCAAACTTCTGAAGAAGAGGTCACATTGGTTCAGATGACAGAATAATGACGGATCACGCTATCACAATCTCCTCTCCCTGGGCCATTAACCGTGGTCTCACTTCGTCCACGGATAGGATGGCGTGACATCTGTTCCCAGATTTGTACGTCTCCATTTTCGGGACCAAAGAAAGTCCGTTACCGTCCTTTGACAGTTTTGATTTTCAGATTTTTGCATGCACTCTTCTTTGGCCTATTTTGTAGTTGAAAATTTCACTTTGAAGACACATCATCACTGCATGTAATGATTTTTAATTTGAATATATACACTTATTGTCAATAAATAGAGACAGAGAGATTTGATAGTAGTAACTCCACTTTTCAAATAAGGGCACTTGAAAAAAAACAACCTGGACACAATTCTCTTCTTTCTATTTCTTTATGTCTGACCGTCTGTCTTACTTTCTGCCCGCACTCAATGACTGTCATTGCGATGAAATGTTCCTTTTTACTCGAACAAACGTTTGCACAAGGGGGGGGGGGGGGGGGGCGATGTTCTGAGCAAATACAAGAAAAGCCCATGAAAGAAAGAATGAAGATGATCGGCACATCGTTAGCTCAGTTGGAATCATGCTTGACTGTTGTAGAGTGAATGGCCTTGGTTCGAATCCCTTAGAAGGCTTTTTAGATTGATTTGGTGAGTTTTTTTAAGACTCTCCACACACGAAATTGGTTCAGTTTTATGGAATATAAACCTAAAATTCGGAGATCACTCCTTTAAAAGAAACTTACAATGTTGGAAGTGGTGTCAAACATCTATCATCATTATCTCCCCTTCTTCTTTTTTTATGTTTTGTTACTCTCTTGTAACACCTCTAATCTTCTGGAGCTCATATGACCTAATTATGCAGTTGCGAGCGCCGTAAAACCTCTACTAAAACTAAAACTGAATACATCGTTCAGCACGTTCCGTCGACGACAGCCTTTGTGTGACGTCACAGGCTTAGCCGTTTTATCTTGTCACTGCCAATATCTTCAAAAATATTCACCGCCCACAAAATCTGTTTGCATTTTTTATACGAGCAGAATTTGTGTTTTTTCCATAATTAAAGAGAAAATAAAATTCTTCCCCATTGAACAGCACATAAATTGCAAGCAAATCGTCATTGTCAGTAAATTCGCAGCGGTTAATCCACGCGTGATGTGGAAGACGCGCCGACCCGTCGAATGGGGTCCGTATGTACAGACAATGGGAGATAATCGGAGAGAGAGAGAAAGAGAGAGAGAGAGAGAGAGAGAGAGAGAGAGAGAGAGAGAGAGAGAGAGAGAGAGAGAGAGAGAGAGAGAGAGAGAGAGAGAGAGAGTGGGGGGGGGGGAGAGAGAGAGGGGGAGAGAGAAAGAGTGGACGGAGGGAAGGTGTGTGTGGGTTTTTTTGGTAAGTTTGTGCATTTGTGTGAGTAGGTGTGTGTGTGTTTATGTATGTGTGTGTGTGTGTGTGTGTGTGTGTGTGTGTGTGTGTGTGTGTGTGTGTGTGTGTGTGTGTGTGTGTGTCTCCGATTGTCCGATTGTCTCCGATTATCTGTTCGTACCGACCGATCTAATGGCGCATTTGAGCGGCGGTTCGAAGGCCGGTTTCCACTGGAAATAATATCATACATATTATTATTATGTAGGATTCGAGACAAGGAGCGTGGTGTTTTGTTTCCATTATAATACGTTGACCGAGAAACAGGACACGAGGTGATCTTTATCCTAACCACCATTTAGATCTAGTCGTAACATCTTTTTGAGTCACCAGTTGTTGCTGTTCAGAGAACGAAGTATTGTGCTGTGATTGTGTCTCTCCAAAGTATTACGTCTTTTCTTTCAAGTCTTTTCACACTAGATCTAGTCTACAGAAAATGTTGGCAGCTCTTCGACGTTTATCAATGGACCTACACCTTTGATATGGTTATTATACTATTAACTATTATGCTGTTAAAAAGCTTGTATATTATAATTATACTATTATGTTGTTAAATAGCTTGTATATTATTATTATACTATTATGTTGTTAAATAGCTTGTATATTATTATTATTACTATTATGCTGTTAAATAGCTTGTATATTATTATTATACTATTATGTTGTTAAATAGCTTGTATGTTATTATTATACTATTATGCTGTTAAATAGCTTGTATGTTATTATTACTATTATGCTGTTAAATAGCGTGTTGTACATTATTATATCGGGCTTCAAATTTTTATGCGTAACACATCCTGATGCTATGTGGAGAGCTTAGATGTTAAACTAGTAAAAGTAAATTTGGCCACCCCTCTCCCCCCCCCCCTCCCCCCGCAGTTGGAAGTTTTTTTCACATATAATATTGCGCACATCCCACTCTCCTTACGGTAATATCGGGTCGACCTCAGCCTTGCGCAAAAAAGACGCTTTTGATAATGATGAGTCCCAATTAATTTTTACTGTTACAAACATCCACTTGGTATCAAACACTGAAATTGAGAGAGAGAGAGAGAGAGAGAGAGAGAGAGAGAGAGAGAGAGAGAGAGAGAGAGAGAGAGAGAGAGACAGAGAGAGACAGAGAGAGAGACTGAGAAAGAGAGAGAGATTGAGAAAGAGGGAGAGAGAGAAATATTGACAACAAGAGGTTGAGAGAGAGTCAGAGAGAGACAGACACAGAGAGGGAGAGAGAGAGAGAGAGAGAGAGAGAGAGAGAGAGAGAGAGAGAGAGAGACAGAGAGAGACAGAGACAGAGACAGAGGCAG